TCTATCTATCTACGACTTTCAGCTCTCCTGGCCGTTTCGATAACAGCATCGATACCAAACTTGGTATGCCATAACATGGCTGTATGAAAAACATATTTGACTAGTTCATGACATGAAAATTATGACATGTATGTCAGGAATGTCATATTTACACTTCATGGTCCTGCAGACCTTGTGGTGGTTTCATTCACATGGCATGTTGCAAAACTGGTATGGCATAACATGATTGCATGGCGAGCACAAGCGACAGACTCAAACATGAAAATCATGACATGCGTGTCTTGTAACAACATGACTACATGCCATGCTCATGATGCGCTCGCGGCCGTTTCGCTAGCGTCACATATACCAAATTTGGTATTACGAGACGTGAATGGATGACGAAAGTATGATAGTGGTGCAAACATGATAAACACAAGATGCATGTCATGTAACAACATGATTACATGCGACATTCATGATGTGCTCGCGGCCGTTTCACTAGCTTTATATATGACAAATTTGGTATTACGAGACGTCAATGGATGAAAAAGGTATGTGACTGGTGCAAACATGATAATCATGAGAAGCGTGTCATGTGAGAACATGACTACATACCATAGTCAAGGCGCAATTACATTTCCATGTGACGCGGTGCGCGTGCTCGCCGGCGTTCCTTTCGTAGCGTCACGCCGGCGTTCCCACGCCAGGCGCCGGTCTCGCCATTTACTCGCAGGCGCTCACCGCCCTGCGTTGCTTTGACGCATGCGCGTTTAAGCGTGTCCGGCGTCCCTTCGTCACGAAAAGAGGGAGACGCACTGTTGTCTGGATAACGCATTGGCGCGAAATGCAGCATGTCTGATTTCGTGCCGGTTCCGTCGGGCCGCGCCGACGGACGCTGGTCGTGTCCGTCGCGCCTGGTGTCAGATTATAGAGTGCTCGCGTTTTGCTAACGTAGCTACCCTGCGCCCAGTGTGCACGCGCGTCAACGCTACATTGAACTATATTGGGCCCTTCATGATGCGGTCGCGCCGTTTTGCTAACTGCACATGTACCAAATTTAGGTGTTACTTGACGTCAATGGATGACAAAAGTATATGACTGGTGCAAACATGATAATGCGGACAAGCGTGTCGTTTAAGAAAAATGACAACATACCGTGCTCACAGCGCGCTCGCAGTCGTTTGCTAGCTCCACTAACACTAAATTTGGTATCACGTGACGTGAAGAGATGAAGGGAAACAACACAACCAAGTATGATAATTATAACACGTAGATCATGTACGGAATGATTTACCTCCACCTCGTAACGTTGTTCTGATTTTAGAGTGACATATCCACCCTCCTCAATGGTGCTTCGCATATCATCGATTCCCATGTCACATGGGATCTGCCCATTTTTTTCCCGTGTGGTGTACTGTTACTCTTTTCGATAGGGTCATGCTACTCTGCTTCGGGCAGCATCATGTTACTCTGTTGAGGGCGAGTGCTTTGACCCGTTATGGGGGAAAACTGAACTCTGCCTCAACAAAAGCTGATTTACTCTGGAAAAGAGAGTGAAATATGGGACGAGATAGTACTCTACAAAGGAGAGTGCCCAGCACTCTCTTAGTTTTGAGAGTGTAAGGCGAACCACGTGTAGATGCGAAGCCGCAGGCCCTAACGTTTACACTGGCGAGGACATTGACGTTGGCGCTCATTGCGGCGTTGCGCAGGAGAGAAACCTGGGGAGACGCAAAGCACGCAGGGATGGACCGGTGTTTCCTAGTAGAACATACCAATCACTGCTATTTGGCAGTGAGACGCAGAAGACTCCGATCGGATACAGAGATCCAAAGCCCACTTTTAGTTAACGAGCACGCATACACGGTGTGGCCAGTGAACGGTTGTGCAGCGCGAGCAGTCGGGTTTTGAATGCAAAAACTCGCCAGCACACGCGGCCTGCGTCGGCATTACCAGGCGAGAGATGGAACGTAGGAGAGGAGAGAGAGAGGAGGAGATGCGCATGCGCAATGGCGATGTACACGCCCGGGGGGGGGGAACCTAGAGGAGAGGGGGGAGTGAGCGTAGGTTAGCAGGTGCTCCGTGCGTCAGCGTTGCGAGACGAGAGAAGGGGAGTGAAGGAAAGGAGAGAGAAGGGGAGCGCATGAGCATGCGCATGAGTAATGGGGGTGTTAATGCCACCGGGAAGAATGCTTAGAGGCGAGAGAGTAAAGAGTGAGTGCAAGCAGCTGGTAGAAGAAAAGTGGAGAGAGTAAAGGAAAGCTGTAAGATAAAGGGAAAGAGAAGAGTCGCACATGCGTAGTGTGTGTGCCGACGCCCACGTTAGTACACTCTACCACGTCGTGGGACATAGGCCACAGAGATGCTTCGCATCTAAAATAGCTGTTAGTGTTACGGCTCCTGACGGAGCCTATCTCAGCCACAGCGCGATCCACTTCGTCCTCGATGGCGGACGGCGCATTACCTGAGTTAGTAGCAGAGGTCGCTGCGAGGACAGCCCAGCTTGATGCTTCGAGTGCTCGTTCTTAAGAGTACTGGATTTCACACCCAACTTTAAAGAGACCGTTGTGTTACATACGCGTCAGCTGTTCCTGTCTCTATGGTCACCATCATCGCTCCCCTCTCCCTTTAATATTTTCCTCTGCGCAGAGTAGCATTTGTTATCTCAGAATCTCAAGTCGACCTCTCGGCCTCTTGAAAAAAATTGCCCGCAGCTTCCCTCGGGGGAACACTGAGGAGGATGCGGAGCATATAATTGGTTAACGGGGTGTTAAAGTGCGACTTACTTGGGTCGATGGCTAAATTGGTTAACGTGGTTGTGAAATGGGGTGTTAAATTGCGACTTACTTGGGTCGATGGCTAAATTGGTTAACGTGGTTGTAGGAGGGGGTGTTAAATGAGTGAACACGTACACACGTATGCGAAAGGGTGGCGCTGGTCGAAGAGACGTCGATCATTGTGTTTGTGGATTCGTTGGAATTCATTTCACCGCGACCTTGGACGTCGACGCGCCGTACAAACCAACCGACGAGCGGCAACTGAGCGAGCGAGCGCCGACCTTGAGTATATATACAGCTCGACGGCGCATGCACTGTCAGCTGTTGAATGTTCTCGAAGCGCGACGCCACATGCGCGTCCACTGGAGAATCAGGAGAATTGTAGATGTCGAACGCGGTGTGTAGAGGAGGAAGGGTGCACAGATAGTGGAGGAGTGAAGCACGCGCGGTGTGTAGAGGAGGAAGGGATGCACAGATGGTGGAAGAGTGGGCGACGGCGCGACGGCGCATGCGCGCGCGTCAGCTGTCGAATGTTCGAGAAGCGGTGCGGACGGCGCGGACGGCGCGGACGGCGCACTACAAGGCGCGAGTATAAGATGCTTCCGCATCTAAAATACGCGCTCTCTCTATCTGCCGTCGCCAGCGACGGCTGCACATTTGGCGATTCACGCAGAAAAAAAATGGCCCCGTATCTGCACGTAATCTGCAAATGTCGCCGAAAAACAATAGTCTTGTGTGTGGAGAGAGTGAAAAAAAAACCATTTATTTGATGTTTTGCGCAAGAAACTCGGTGAATGGTATTCTGGAGGCGCTGCGTTAGAGTGCCTCAAGCGTGCAGCGGAGGCAAACGAGCGCATCAAGTCACGTCACACGTGAGACATGAGCGCCATATGGAAGTTTTCTCGATAAACGGAGCGCGTAGCTCTGAGACGGGTGTGCGCGCCCGTCTTAGAGGTGATAAGGTGTAGAATGCAACGCGAAGGGTATGTGCCACCACCGTCTCGTTTTAGCAAAGCGTTGGAAACGCTCGCCTGTTCCTGCAAGCATTGCATGGTCAGCGCAGCGTGATAAGCGCTATGGTCCTTAAAATTACATATGTATGCCTTTTCTAGTAAAAGATGCACATGCAGAATATACACGTGTTGTTGTGGTGCCCCAGACATGCGCAATAGTGGCTTTTTGATTGACAATCACACAAGTATGAACGCCGAATCTTGAGCAAGATTGGTGGGTGCTGTGAATGGGGTCACCCACTTCAAGTACCCGTTGCTGTTAAGAGGGGACAAACAGACAAAAATACAGAAAAACAGACAGACAGACAGACAGACCAATTTTTTTGCGCCGAAGGTCCACAAGAAAGACTATCGTCTTTAAAACAGTGAGACTAGTAGGCCAAGGTATATTATCCCGTAGCTGCCTCGATACAAGGTGCGTCGCTTATTTTATGGTGGGAATGGTTCTTAAAACTTCTATAAACCCATTCCTTTTTAAAACTTGTGCTTAGTGTTCGTAGCTCTTTGTTCTATAGTCACTATTGAGCATGTTTTCTATATTTCATTACCGTCGCATTCTTTTCACCGTTAACTTGTTCACCTTGTATAATAATGGCCAAAACTTGCCTTCATTTTATTGTTTGTATTTAGGTAGTGTAAAGACATGTACATAATTGTTTTGTGCTACCCTTACACAATACCCTGCGGGGACTGCGAAGTATTTAGAATAAATAAATAAAAATAAATATATTGGGGACTGTAGCGTGAAATATGACAAAAATTTTGACAATCCATTTGAGGATTGTTTTAGGAGTTTTCAAGGCCAACAAACAAAACAACTGTGCTAATGAAGCACGCAGTGAGTTACCTTTAACTAGGAAAAGTTCAATGTAATCCCTAAGCACATTGTTATGAGATGCAGACGCGAAAGCATTTTTTCTCTGGCATGCACATCTACGGAGTTCTGCAAGGTATGCCGAGGGGATTTCCCCAGTATTACGGCGTGGGTGCAGGTGGTTGCTGCGGCGCAGTGGAGCCTGACACCAGCTGTACGAGCTTTCGCCAGCCGAGCCAAGAAACGCTTTCGCGTCAAAATCATGCAGCTGCATGGACCTCCACGAAGAGCGCTTATGAAAGTTTACAAGACAATACGTGGCCTGCTTAGACACTCATACGGTGTTTTCACAAATGGCGCTCGAGATGTTTTCTCGAGGAATCTTTCCTGACAAGACCTGGACCAAGCAAGACACAAAAATAACTATTTATTTAGTTTTGTTTATTCAACAACAATAACAACAACAAGAAACCCCTAATGCCTGCCTCAATAAGCACGCGATGTTTGAAGCTGACGAGTCTTCGCTGAAATCATAGGTATTAAGCAGCTTGTTGCTTTCGAGGACGTGTAGGTGACGGTAAGTTACTTTTTTTTCTTAGTGAACTTGCAAAGGGCCACTTCAACGTGTTGCCGTGCGTATCTAGTCAGCGACCATGGTAGGTTATCCTGCTTCCAGCTTGAAAATACTACTGTCTCATTAAACCTATTTTGAAAATGCCACATACCGAAAAAGGCCTTAAAAAGTGCAAGCAGTGTCGCCAACGTATGGCGTTATCTTATACTCTTCGGATGCCTAGTCGTTGCGAACGTCTGAAACCATCTTTATCTATTCGACGTTGAAAGAACAGGTCAAGTTTTCTGTGTTACTGCTCCAAAGCTTTGGATATCGGTATTTTTTTATGATGTGTACATACACAAGCACAAAAGCGTAGAACACATACAGTCCGTTCACTAACGTTCCCTTCTATTTTTTTTCTCCTTTTCGATGGCCTTGCGCATGTTACATAGATAGGACGCAAGAGACAGTTCAGTTACAGTCACGATAACGGTGACGTTTTCGACCATATCAACGAAATGGCCCTGTAGCGCCATCTGCTGTGTTACCCTTCTCAAACTTATGCATATGTAGGTAATACTCAATCAAAGCGATTATCGAAGCATGCCAAAACAAGCATTGTATCATAACCGGACAGAAGGCAGCAGGAGTGTTGACCGCTTCATTGCGGTGGCCAGGGGGTTTGGGTACAGTGATCTGATAACGCGCAATCCCGGAAGCCATGTACTAGCAGCGCACAATACGACGAATCGATGGACTTTTTCTTGTCAAGATTCCATCGTTTTGAAAACGTGCACTAGTCTGCGGTGAAGGCTCGGCCTAGTGCCACAGCGTCGATGATGGATGTCCAGCGGCATGCCGAGGATGGTGTTCCGGCATGCTGACGATGTTGGGCCAGTCACCTTCTCCAAGCATCTCATTCACCTCCACCTATAATTTCCGCAACCCAAGTATCCTGTGTGCCACGTACGTTCACGCATGTGCACAGATACTTTGTGGAGATGGACAATGCGCGACTCTGCGTTAGAAGTACCCACGACCTACGTGCGGCGCAGCAGCGGCTTCTGAACGCCCTTGGGACTCGCTGTCTGCGCCGGCATCGCTCTTCCGGTGGCGACTGATGCGAGTGCCGATGACGAAGCGGATAATGTAGAGTGCAGTGCCGTGAGCGTGGTCGAAGTGCTTCGGGGACGACGCCGGCGATCAAACTCGCTGCCACACAGCCGTTCGCGTACCTGCGTGAGAGACAGCAAAGAACAGTATAAACAAAATGGCATTCGTATTTTATATCAAAAGACCGCTTTGAGGAGGCACCACACTTGCATTTTCTTAATCTCATCCGAAGTATCAAAAGCCACGGAGAGGTTACCGTCTATAGATCATGGTATGTAGTGTTTTGCACGTCATACAGGAACGTTGCATGAAAGGTTGTGTAGTACATGCGCTGACACAGAACCAATTTTCAATGTCAGCTTTCATCTGTATCAAAGGGGTATGTCAAAGGCGTATATCAACTCAAGTGCATGCGTTATAGAATAGTGAGTGAATTATCAAAGTGTGAGTTGGCGTTCGCCTTGACAATGAAATTTAATCGAAGCTTGTAGATCTCATAGAAGCTTCTCATAGTATTTAATCAGTCTCGTGTGTTTCGTGTGAAGCTCACGCACAGTCATTAAAATTTGTTGTTTCGCAGGGTCTTGGAGGCGGCGGGCTTGAGTCTATGGTACAGTCAAGCTGAGGCTGTTCAGCTGAATGAGAAGTCAATAGGGACCTAATTCGTTGATCCCTTCCCCAGAAATGGGCACCCACAGCGCAATGTGGGCAGGCGAGCAGCTCGTGCCAGGGCGATAATACAGAAAACGGTCGACATGGAAGCTGCTGTTGCGTGTGCGATGCAGGAACATAGACGGCCGTACATCTACACTGACTCCCGAGCAGCCGTCAGGGCCTTCGCCTCGGGAGTGGTTGCTAGAGAGGCGGCAGCGCTTTTGGAAAGCAAGTCAAATAGTAAATCCATCGCTGTCCATTGCATTGCGTGGTTTTTTGCTCACATGGGCAACGACTAGCTCCAGGGTCGTCAGCACCCCAGTGAGGTCGCTCACCACCCTGCGTGAGAACTCGCGCGCTGCGGCAGCGGTGAGGCTTCGTCGAATTCGGGGAGGTGTGGCACAGAGATCCCCTATTAACCTTTCAAGAGATTGTCTCCCACTATAGAGGAGAATGCAGGCACTTCCCGCTTCCACACCCGAAATTATGCAGAGCTCGAGCGATGACGCTTAAAATGCTGCAGACGAGGTCATATCCCTCGTAAGGTTTGCTAAGCCGGATTAATCGGGATATCGACCCAAAATGCCCAGACTGCGGGGAGGAATTCAGTGCACTATTGCTCATGCTCTGGCAGTGTCCTGCGTTACGGGACAAGCAACACACTAAGGAACATAACTGGGAAGACGTCGTGACGAGTACTGCACTGAATATGCAGCTAAAGGCTGTCCAGAGGGCCCACGAAAGAGCGGAGAGGCATGGCCTCCCGATTCCGATATGAAAGCGTGCAGCCAGTGGCACGCCGACAGCTTCTGCGTGTCCTTGCTGACTCCGGACACCATGAAGTTTTTGGTCTGGGCTAATCGGTAAATCGTTGTACTGTGTGTTATTTTATTTAGCGCAAAGAGGTAATGCGTCGCAACACTCGCACATTCACACACGCTTCTACTCAGACGCACACGACGCTGTGGGGTGTATTTTCCTTGAGTAAAAGCTTGTAAGAATGTGTGAGTGTTTCTAGGGACTACCACTTTGCCCTAATTAACGTACAGTGTGGCACACAGGGAGTACACACATCGTCGATAGATGGTGTTGAGGAAAGGACGAGCCGCCGTGCCCAGGGCGAAGCTACACTGTAGCGAAGACCACCCGATCAACCTCTTTTTATTCCGAACACTGCTCTAATCCTAATGATGACAGTGGCGCTCTTAGTCGTTCACACAATATTTAACAGATGGTACGACAGCCTCCGAAGCTAAAATCGTCAGCACGAACGAAATGATTACGTTGCTTATTCATTCTTGTTACCTCAATAATAATAATAATAATAATAATAATAATAATAATAATAATAATAATAATAATAATATCAAAAGAACTCCTGCCATTACGTACGCTTAACTTGGTATAGGGAAATAGAGAAAAAATATAGGAAAATAAAGGAGCTGCCCGGAACAAGGAGATAAGGAACAAAACAAAAGCAGCTGATGGTGGAGATGATTATCACTATCAAAGTAACTCACTTAAATAAATTATTCAATCAATCAATCGATCAATCAATTAATCAGTAACATATAAATACATGACGCCTAGAGGCACTTCACTAGCCTCAGAAGTGAATGAGAGGAAGGAATAAAATTAAATCTTGTCGGTAAACAATCAGCGAAGGCTTCGCTTATCACCTACTCAGTGTATGCGCTTAAGGGTTGTCTTGATATCTTCTTATCTTCTTTATTGAGTGAGTGACGAAGGGCTCATCATCACAAGAGACACACCAGAATAAACATTTGCAGTCCTAGACCACCGGGCTTGTAAGCGCGGAGGATCCGATAGAACTTCGCGTCGGCGCTGGGCGTGAAGAAACAATTATCTTGGCTAGCGTCTTTTATCGTTTTACTGGCACTGACAGCAGCAGAACTACTTTTACGTCGAAAGCATTTATAACACTCTAAAACAAAGGAGCCTAATTTTAGCAATTGATTTTAATCTTCCAAAATTGTATAGTGCTTTCTTTGCATTTTCTCTACCCATTTTTTTCCCGAAATATCGCGAAAATTCAGTTTTCTTATTCGCATGTGTGATTCTACGTCTCTTAAAACGACTAAAAGTCAGTCAGAGGAACTTTGCGCTAACTGACCGTTGCTACCTGAATATCCCGTACCAGGCACCGCATCAACAGTGACATCATCATTGACGCATAAAGCGCTTCACCCCCTCACTTTCTTCAGTGGGCTTGGTGGCACCTCGACGATGCGGTTAATTGACGCACGACGCCTTTTCGCTTTACAGGTAACGAATCGTTACGCTATCCATGCACGTCGTACTAGTTAGGCCGCATTGTTGGTGCAGCCGAGCCCAGGCTCCTGTCTTGATATTGCTCGTGATTGTACCTCTATTATTCTGCAAATTCTCACGCTTTCCGGAGACGTAGAAACCAATCCCGGCCCCAACATCCGCTCCCATTCCCCGCGAGCTTCCAGTGACATTATGCCAGCGTTGAAGGAGATGAAGTCAGTCCAGGCCTCTCTTTTAGACGAAATGAAATCTATTCTAATCAAACTCTCCGAAAACGATAAAGCAGGGTGATTCCACGAGAGATCAACACGAGTCCAAAAGTTGATATTTTAGATTTCATTGAGTATTTTATATTTCGTGCACCTCTCACCAGGTAGCCCGAAAGTTAACTTAGTTTTATGATTAACGGCATAACTTACGAGAAAAAAAATCAAACTTCACCAACACGGCGGCACCAATTTCGTCACCTGTCATTTTAGAAAATTGCAGATGCTATGAAAAGACAAATATTTTTTTTAAGGAAGATATTTTTTACCTGAAAAGCATGTCTAATGAAGAATGAATTTATATGGTTTCAAGTTTGTAGACCTTAAGGAAGTAGCTTTTAAAAATGTCTAATTTTGCGACAGTTTAAAATAAGTTACGTATTCCCCAATTTTTTTTATCCGAAAGTAATGCAAGCAGCGTTTTCAAACTTGACACGTTTTAATGATATAGTGTGTTCATTAGGTACATAAATTATTGCTGCCGTAGGGAAAATGTAAATTTTTATATATTGCCTCACCATTTTCATATTGGCAAAAGTGTACTCCACCGAAATTTGAATAATAAAAAAACCCCATCTTCAATTTTTCTTAAAATCTCGTAAATAGACAACTGAAGGCTATCATACATTAATATAGAGAAACATGTTGCATTATTTTTTTGTTTTTAGTGACAATATTCATGGTACAAATCAGAGCTTTTCGAGAATGCGCTGATAAGTTGAGAAATATAGAAATCGGAACGGAAAAGCGGCAATAAGCTTCAAACGCGAGTAAACGTGACAGCATTTGGTGAAGAAAGGCTGTTTTAGCAGATAGGAGTAACTATTTTCAACACGGTATTCTACAGTATCTGATTTCACTCTTATACGTAGAGCACTGAGACTTCTAATATGTGGTGCCTCTCCATTACTGACACACAGGTGGAGCTGCTGTGACGGCCATGTGTTCGCAACACGTTGGGTAAGAGAATTGAATGTTGAATGAGTTCATAAACGATTCATAACAAATTTTTATCATTTGGGGCACGAAGACTCCCGCATAACACTGAAGAACACGCTTTAGGGCAAGTTGTCATTCGTCGTCTGCTCTACAAATGAATTGCTATGCGCCGCATCTCGGAGGCAATGCTTTAGATCATATAGTTCAAAGTAGGGACAAAGATCACGCCTCCCGTAATTTTATCGACAAAAACATTGTGAATTCATTTTAACGTACTATACTTCAGTTTTGCATTCACTCTGTGGATACTTGTGCGCAAGTATACTAAACAACTTAAGGGCTCAAATCTAAGCGTTTCAGAGGATTACTCACCAAACACTCGGCTAGCACGCAAACAGTTAATCAGGTTTGGAATGTCCCAGCGAAACCCCTTTCAACTACGCTACGACAAGCTCAACATTGACAACAGGACTTACAAATATGATAACGAAACACAAAGCGTTAGATCTGCTTCATAGCTACCTGCTATCGCATCTGCGAAACCCAACCTTCATCCTTTATCCTTTCTTTACACTAACATAAGAAGCGTGACGAGCTTCATAATCTGCTCGCGAGCACTGACTGCAAACTAACTGAAACATGGCTCAATTCAACCGTCGAAGACACAGAGCTCAGTCCAATCTTGCTAGATTTCAACATCTTTAGACGTGACCAAAAGAGTAAAGGAGGTGCTGGTGTTCTCATAGCTTCCCATCACAGCCTGCCCTGCAAAATAATGAACATCACTTCACCATTGGAAATTTTGTTTGTGTTATGTATTAATCTGTACCCCCAAACCGTTATTTGTGTATGCTATCGCCCACCTGATGCAAATATCTCTTTTTCGGTTCATTTTCACGAAGCTTTGTAAACAATAAAATCCCTCCGTCAGGCACCTTTGCTTCTTTTTGGTGTCTTCCACTTCCCTGATT